CACGTGTTTATCGTTGCTAGGAAATCATCCATGTAAACAATCACAGACTATCATCACTGTCTTGTCCGTATATTGCTTAATATGTTGTACAGTAATTGTCATCTTTGATAATGGCTTATGTAAGCCGAAAGATTAGATTGAATTAAAAAAATATGGATCAGTATTGTGATTTTCTTTCTTCGTCTAATGATAATGTTATTAAGCGTATCAGACGATATGAAAAGAATTTACATAAAATAGACAACACTTGTCTATATTATTTAATGAAACATGTATGAATAAAAAAATTCTGCCTAAATATACACAATGTATATATATATATATATATATATATATATATATATATAATATAAATGTAAAAGTGAATCATTTGAAGTCAACACTCAGAGGCGACAGGCTTTTTCATGCTAGATGCAATCGTCAGGCCACAAGATTGCATCCAGCATGAAACAGACTGTCGCCTCTAGGTGTTGACTTCTATGTTCACTTTTATATTTACGCACGCTCTATCTCTGATATTGAGCACTTTATCCCATAAATATAGCACACCTTAAGACTATATTTCTTTATATATATATATATATATATATATATATATATATATATATATATATGTGTGTGTGTGAATATCAGATATCGCACATTGAGTGCTGGTGTTAATAAAATAATGCTCGATGTAATATAACAACGCAATCTTCAGATGCTAGTTAGACATTTACCATTACATAATTTAAATTTTAATAAAAATAGCGATTTTCTAAGCGTAGCTCACATGTGGCACAAGGCCGAAAGCATGGAGCACCCAGTGAGGATCGAATTCACTACTCAGTCGTAACTGTTCTAGCAAGACAAGCTTGCTAACCATTACACCACCACGAGGTGCCCGAAATTTTAAGAAAAATATCCTGTTAACGCGACGCTGGCACAGTCCATATATTAAACGGGGATAACAGGTTTTTATTTTTTAATTTTTTATATAGATAGATAGATAGATAGATAGATAGATAGATAGAAATAGATAGATAGATTACATCCAAAATAGACTGGAATTGTATTTTATATTTAAAATAAACAGGAATTAATGATATTTATTTGAAAATAATATTATTACAATAGTTGCAAAAATATTAATTTGCATTTAAAGTTGGGGTTAATATTTCATTAAAAATAAACAGTGGTTACTGGTCTTTTTAAAGAAATTTTATATTAAATTTGAATTAATTTTATATTTAATGTTTTATTAAAAAAAACAGTAACTCCGTTTGACGCAGTATTTTAATTTAAATTATGTAAAGGTCAGTTTCCACGTAGCACTTGAAGATTGCGTTGCTGCATGAAACTCCGAGTTGTGCTACCGGTGAGGGATAACGTGTATATATATATATATATATATATATATATATATATATATATATATATATATATATATTAATAGCACAAACACACAAAGCCAGCACATGGAGGCGAAATGCGTTGTCATTATATACTATTTCCATGTATCATTTCCCTTTTTGTTCAGATATTATTATTATCCACGAAATAACGTTTAAAATAGTAGGTCATATAGGATGAAGAATTCATTAATTCCTTAGAAATATATATATATATATATATATATATATATATATATATATATATATATATATATATATGCCTACTAATGAACGTTACGTTGTTGATGTTGTTCACAGTACATAGGAAATAATATCATTTATTGATTCCTTCGGAAATATATATATATATAGTAAAAAAGAATTATATTATAGTAAAAAAGAAACTCAGTAAATTTTAAAATGTTATTCCAAAATTCGCTTGAAGATGAAACAGAACTAATGCTTTTAATTTAATTATATAATTAAATTTGAAGTTATTAACCTCGGTTTTAGAAACATGGTAATTCCTGTGTAGAAGGAACCATATTTTTTAAATCAGTTAATTTAATATATATATATATATATATATATATATATATATATATATATATATTATATATATATTTTTTTTGAACAATTTTTTAAAAAGAAAAAATTAAATTATATATATATATATATATATATATATATATTGTGTATTTGAGCAGGTTAACCTCTTTTATACAAGTTTCATTAAAGGCGACTGAGAAGATACTGTAATTAAGCTTTATATTTCCTTTTTCTTGTGTTCATATAACTGTTTTCTTTTCTGAACATAAAGTGTGTAAAAATTGTTCAAATGTTCTGTATATCCGAGAGCTTTTTGGTTATTCCTTTTGCCATTATCAAGGGCGATTTTCATTTATATTTTTAAGAAAAGTTTGTAATAAATGAAAGAAACATTCAAAGAAAATATAATACGATTGGAAAAACGGTTAAAATACGAAAAGAGAAAAGCTGTGTGAGTTTAAGGAAAACAAAGGTAGAAAAAGAAAGATGTAAAATGTTTTAACAAACGGAATGATGATGATGATGATGATGATGATGATGATGATGAAGAAAAAGGATGATGATGAAGAAGAAGAAATGGATGAGGAGTAAAAAGAATTGAAAAGAATAAAAATATAAATAACGAAGGAAATTTGGAAAAATGAAAATGCTAAAGAATGGCGACGAAAATGAAAAAAAAACTGCGAATAGAAGAAGAAGAAGAAGAAGAAGAAGAAGAAGAAGAAGAAGAAAAAAAAGAAAAAGAAGAAAAAAAGAAAAGAAAGAAGAAAAAAATAGAAGAAGAAGAAGAAATGAATAGGGATAAAAAAAAACTGAGAAAATAAAAAATACAGTGAATAATGAATAAAATCTGGACAAAAAGCAAAAAAGCTTCATCAGAGAATGAGATATGGAGAAAATAAAATAAAAAAAAAAAATCTTTTTTTCCATATCTCATTGTCTGGATGAAATTTAATAAAAGTAAAACATGTTAGATTGAATATAAATATATATATATATATATATATATATATATATATATACACACACACACACACATATATGGCGTATAGCCTAATGGTTACCAAATTTTTTGATGAAATAATTATGACCGAATCACACTAATGCTCTTGGGAAAGGCATGATTTAATCTCTTCTCGCCACCATCAGCCGTTTGTTAAATACCAAGGCAGACTGGGCTTTTTAGCCTTGACAGGCGCTCACTATAAGTGGGGACAACTCTGAATTCAAAACCGGGGAGAAAATAACGGGAACTACTTCACAGTCTTTTCTCAGAAATTATAGCAGTTTATATATATTAACAGTATAGACGTTGTGGAGTGCCATGACTGCTTACCTTCTGAGAGAATATGTCATTTAAGAAGCAGAAGATTTTTTCTTTCTAATACAACGTGCCTTATAGCTATGTCGGAAGAAGATAGCAGATAAGACGTAATGACTGAAAGACACTCTAAGATTTAGAAACAGTTTTAAAAAATTTATAGATTTCAAAATTTAAAATCTTATTGTGAATTACTTATAATTGCAGGCGTTAGTCTCAATATAAATAGTTATAAATAATTATTGACCAATTTTATCATTGTGATATTTTTGCATTAGATCAAGTATTAAGAATATAGTAACTAGGGTCTGCAAATTGGAGGAGAGAGTTATCAATGATAATGTTATGACTTCGAATTAGCGGTTATCTCCCTTTAACCCTGTTTCTGTTTTTTTTTTTTTTTTTTTTGTTTTTTTTTTTTTCGTTTTTTTTTTTTTTTTAAAATTTGGTGAGGCGCGGGCAAATTTTCCTTCCGAAAATGCAGCCCAGAGAAAAAATATCCAGGAACCTCTGCTCTAATAAAAAAAAAAAATAAACCTCACGCCATTTTCTATCAAGAATTCACAATCTTAAACTCTATGTAATTCTCAATTCTTGTCACCTCAAACTTCCTCCAAAGAATGTATCAGATTTATTAGTGTTTAGTTTAGCATGCCATTGAAAGTTTCCCTTGTACGCTGTTTGTTACACAAGGAATTATACGCAATGAAAATAGAACATTTTGTATGACTGAGAAGCATAGAGAAAATAAAAAGACAAAAAAAAAATCATTGTCTCGTTTTATATGCAGCCTTTTTTTTATCACAAGGGCGACCTTCTCTCCTCGTGTCCAAATTACTGTGCGAAGGAGTTAACATGACGCCGGCCAATATTATGGTTCCTTTTGGGAAACAAGGCGCCTGTTCTGTCTCTTTCGGGCGCACCTCTCCTCTTCACAAATGTGGATTTATAAGCGCGATTGGTCCACCCTCTCATACGCAGTGAACCGTACACATAGTAGCCAACGAGGCCTGTCTGGACTATTTTCAGCTGCTCAGTCGAAGGATGTCGCATTGACAGTTTGCGTAATTTATAATATTTGAGAGAGATTTCATCGGTCTGGGGTCGTGTGAG